AAGGTGCCTAGTCGTAATATTTAATAGGGGGAGGAACAAAGACAAAAGCTGTTAAATTCACCCTGAATGGTATTTCAAAATATGCAAAACCATTTCTCTTTCTTCGGAATATATGTCACTTAAAACAAAACAAAAAAGAGATAAGGTTGTGAAATCAAAGCTAAGGAAAGAAGTGTAAAAGATGAAAAGGAGTTGAAAAGCAGGGAGGGGTCAGGAGCCACTTTAGCCAGGAAAAATACCAGATTTAACTTATAGATAAAGTAAAGCGAAAGGTTCCCCTCGCACATATGTGCTAGTCGTTCCCGACTCTAGGGGGCAGTGCTCATCTCTGTTTCAAAGCAGAAGAGCCAGCGCTGTCCGAAGATGTCTCCGTGGTCATGTGGCTGGCATGACTCAATGCCGAAGGCGCACGGAACGCTGTTTCCTTCCCACCAAAGGTGGTCCCTATTTTTCTACTTCCATTTTTACTAGGTTGGCAGAAGCTGGGATAAGTAACAGGAGCTCACTCCGTTACGCGGCGCTAGGGATTTGAATCGCGGACCTTTCTGATTGACAAGCTCGGTGTCTTAGCCACTGAGCCACCCCCGTCCCTATTGGATTAGCACAGAGCAAAATCTACATCTCTTGTCTTTAAAATCATGGGATTTCAAGGGCCACCCTAAAGTGCTGCTCTGTAAGCTGTAGATACAACCCTCACCAAAGGTGGTTCCTATTTTTCCACTTGCATTTTTTACGTGCTTTCTAACTGTCAGGTTGGCAGAAGCTGGGACAAGTCATGGGAGCTCACTCCGTTATGCGGCACTAGGGATTCGAACTGCCAACCTTTCTGATCAACAAGCTCAGCGTCTTAGCCGCTGAGCCACCTGATAGGTTACAGATACTTGGATATAAATAGCTGAGTAAACTTAATTTTTTCTTATTAGGCTTCACGGGTGAGAGCTGATATCTCCCGTTCCCAATGTAGAGATAGTCCTCAACTTACTACAGTTCGTTCACTGACAGTTCAGTGTTACAACAGCATTAAAAAAGTGACTCCTCCATTTTTTCCCCCTCCTGTAATGAAACATCTGCAAGAAAGCCACCAAGCTCAGAGAGCATCAGGGACTCCAGTCATTGTTATCTCCCCCCACTCACAAACCCCACTCTCTTCTAGCACTGATGATGTTCCCTAGTTGGGTAATGAAATGTCGGCAAGGAAACAACCAAGCTCAGAGAGCACCAGGCACTCCACAATCCTCTTCACAATGCCCACTCCCTTTTAGTGCTGATGAAGTTCCCTAGTTGGGTCATGAAACGCCTGCAAGAAAGCCACCAAGCTCAGAGAGCACTAAGGATTCCTCATTTCAGCCCTGAGCTACAATGATTCCCCTTTATTAAGATCTATCCTGTTTCCTTCTTTTTTGGTCAATTTTGATGTGCTAACTGCTTGCTTGCAAAAATATGTTTCTAGGTTTTCGTGATCCTGGTTGCCAAGATCTGGCCTGTTCTCCCTTCAAACCAATATTTATTGCTTCGAGCTGGAGGAACTTCCGCTTGCAATAATCTTGGCTGTCCCACCAGGACCCCAATTTGTGGTCTAAAAAGTGGGCAAAAATACACCTGCAGTTTTATACCTGTCTCAAAAGAGGGAAGATGCAGTTTGGACTTCACCGTTCCGCTAGACGGGGGGGGGAAAATCCTGAGCCTTTACCCTGTTTAAGCTCAACAAATATTAGGGAGTTAGTTAATTTCCCTCTGAAGGTTTTATGGTACCGAAGATGGATGCCTAATTCATATCACTGCATATATTTGACTAATTAACTTTTCATTTGTTTGGGGACGAGTTTATTATGCACATCTACGCAGATAATTTTATTCTGCTGATGGACTTTCTTTTTTTAACCTTCTACAAGCATGTTTTTCCTTCGGTAAAGATTGGGTGGTGTGTTGATTTGGCTTCTGCACCCCTCCCCTTCCTTAATTCCATAGGTGTGTGCTGACATTGAGTCCTATTTATGGTATGGTAATTTTAAGTGTTTTTTTTTAAATCTAATTGGTTTTTGAATGCAGTTGGTGATTATCCCGGGAGGATAAAAATAGCAGACATGGATTTTACAACAAGGAGATGTGATTAGAATATACAATGGTTGGTTCAGCGAAATATATAAGAAAATATTAATAACCAACTAATGGAATTGGCACAGAGAACTGTGCTAATTTAGTATATTGGACCCATCTTAGATGCTTCTAACATTGCGGATAGAAGCGTTGGGAAGGGAATAATCAAATTCTCCCTGGATAAATGGAATTTTCTTTTAATTCTTTGAAGGCAGAAAAACCGAGCTACTCTAGGGCAATTCCATGTCTCTTTCAGCAAAAAGATTTTCCTCATCGGATCTTAGCTGCTAATTTCAAAAGTGTTGGGGTTTTTTTTTAATAGTTAATTTTAAAAGCAGATTAATTGGATCAAATCAATTAAAAAAAAATATTTTCCATGCTGGAGTCCTCCGCTTGCTTTTCTTAACCAGTGTCCCTACTATAGAAATGTCATCAGATTAATTTGGAGAAAAGAAAATAGTTTGCTGATTTCTGAACAGGAATTGGGATGGGGAGTAAATCTTCCTGGGCTGAAGATTGCACAATGGTAGAACTGAATCCATTTGCGGCGCAGCATAGGTAGAAAACCTGGCTCACATCCTATTTGATTGTTGCCTGTAGAAGGGGGTGAGGTACAGGTACCTCGGTCCATATATCAAACGAATGCCCCACTGGGATAACCATATCAAAACAACTTCCCTTATGTGCAGCCAGAACCTGAAAATAACATTTAACACAGCACGGTACTTTAGCAAAAATGGTTCGGTTGACATCAGCTTATGTGGGACCGATTGGGGTAGATTGATTGCAGGGGTGACACTGAAATATAATGTTATCATATTCTATTTACCTATATCTTGAATCCTTGTATTCTATTCCAGTTTCATTTTAGACTGCATTTCATTTTAAATCATGTTGGATTCCAATTTCATTTTAAATCACATTTTATTCCAATTCCGTTTTAAATTGCATTTATCAAATTTTAGTAATCATCTGTTTCTGGAACTTTGCACTTTGATTGGGCCCAAACGCTAATCAATAAATAAAGATGTAGTAGATGTTAATGACAATGTGCAAATAAAGGATAAGTCGAACTGAATCTAAGATTTAAGTTGCCAGTTTTTGCACGGAGAACTCATTTTCTACTTCTTCTGCTATTTTTATCTTTTAGCACCACTAATGGAGATGTAATTTACTATTACGGAAACAAAGGAGATCCAGAACCTGTCTTCCTAAATCCCGGTGGGTTAAATAATAATAATAATAATAATAAAAATAAAAAACCACCCTACTTGGAACAGCTTATATCCTCCGACATTACCTTAACAGTTCCTAGGTCCTTGATTAGGACTCAAGCTGTTGAGCTGCCAACCAGCCCCAAAGGCTGTGAATTTCACCAAAGATTAACAATAATAACAACAACAACAACACAACCTTGATTTATTTAAAGCAGTGCAGTGGTGAAATTCAATTTTTTTTTACTACCGGTTCTGTGGGCATGGCTTGATGTGCATGACAGGGGAAGGATACTGCAAAATCTCCATCCCTACCCCACTTCAGGGGAAGGATACTGCAAAATCCCCATTCCCTCCCCACTCCAGGGGAAGGGTATTGCAAAATTTCCATTCCTACTCCACTCCAGGGGAAGGACACTGCAAAATCTCCGTTCCTCCGCAATCCAGGGGAAGGATACTGCAAAATCTCCATTCCCTCCCCACTCCAGGGGAAGGTTACTGCAAAATCTCCGTTCCCTCCCCACTCCAGGGAACGGTTACTGTAAAATCTCCATTCCCTCCACACTCCAGGGGAAGGACACTGCAAAATCTCCGTTCCCTCCGCAATCCAGGGGAAGGATACTGCAAAATTCCCATTCCCTCTCCACTCCAGGGAAAGGTTACTGCAAAATCTCCATTCCCTCCCCACTCCAGGGGAATGTTACTGCAAAATCCCCTGAAGCAGTGATGTGTCTGCATACCTGCATATGCGTTTTGCCACGATGGACATGAAGATAAAGGGCTATACATGTCATATTTTGAGAGAGATGGACAGCTACTGCCTGCTTTGGACCTTGGCGATTTTAAGACTGGTGGACTGGTGGACTTCAACTCCCAGAATTTCTCAGCCAGCGGAGAATTCTGGGAGTTGAAGTCCATCGGTCTTTTTTTTATTTGTATCAAATTTATTTTGATAAAATACTTTTGGAGTAAAAATCTATCTAAAGATTGTTTTCTATTTAAGATACATTAATAATTTAGTTTATTCAGCATGAAATGGAGCTTATTTATGTAGGATGAGGCTGTATATTCTGCAATATTGGGACTGTTGGTGAGTCAACAGAAGGTCAGAGGAGGAGCTGCTGTGGGACAGAGATGACAGTTGTTCTTTAAAAATTATTATTTAAATCTAGTTGATTTAAATCCAGCCTTTTTACTAGTGATTTAACTCGTGATTTAAATCGACTTGATTTAAATCAAATCAACCCTGTTCTGAAACCTGACAAGAAGTATTGCCTTTGGAAGTTTACCACTGAATTTCAACCACGTGGTCTTGAGATGTCCAGGGTCCACACGCAGCTATGGCTTGCCCAAACATGCACCATGAAGTCCTTCTTCTCATCTACCCCGAGTCTTCCCTCAAAGGATTTGGAATTATGAGAAAGGAATGGAAGTTTTTTTTTTTCCCTATACTCTTTTTCCATTTCTGCATTTGTCATATCTGACCCAGTGAACTTCCAGGGTGTAGGATGATGTCCTAGAACCTGTTAGTCCACTCCCTTTGCTTCTGTTTTATACCTACAGTTCCAAAAAATATGTGGATGACACAGGTTTGGGAAGGTGTTTTATCTCATTTGTAAAACGAACAACATCTTATTAACGATATTTAATGGATACGGTAATAGCTTAATGAATTGGAGAAAAAAAAGTAGAGAGTAAAATGACATTTTGGTATAATCTAATTTAGTAGATTTGTATCATGTTAAAAAAAAGA